GTAAAAGTAAAGTAAAAGTAAAGTAAAAGTAAAGTAAAAGTAAAGTAAAAGTAAAGTAAAAGTAAAGTAAAAGTAAAGTAAAAGTAAAGTAAAAGTAAAGTAAAAGTAAAGTAAAAGTAAAGTAAAAATAAAGTAAAAGTAAAGTAAAAGTAAAGTAAAAGTAAAGTAAAAGTAAAGTAAAAGTAAAGTACAAGTAAAGTAAAAGTAAAGTAAAAGTAAAGTAAAAGTAAAGTAAAAGTAAAGTAAAAGTAAAGTAAAAGTAAAGTAAAAGTAAAGTAAAAGTAAAGTAAAAGTAAAGTAAAAGTAAAGTAAAAGTAAAGTAAAAGTAAAGTAAAAGTAAAGTAAAAGTAAAGTAAAAGTAAAGTAAAAGTAAAGTAAAAGTAAAGTAAAAGTAAAGTAAAAGTAAAGTAAAAGTAAAGTAAAAGTAAAGTAAAAGTATATTAAAAGTAAAGTAAAAGTAAAGTAAAAGTAAAGTAAAAGTAAAGTAAAAGTAAAGTAAAAGTAAAGTAAAAGTAAAGTAAAAATAAAGTAAAAGTAAAGTAAAAGTAAAGTAAAAGTAAAGTAAAAGTAAAGTAAAAGTAAAGTAAAAGTAAAGTAAAAGTAAAGTAAAAGTAAAGTAAAAGTAAAGTAAAAGTAAAGTAAAAGTAAAGTAAAAGTAAAGTAAAAGTAAAGTAAAAGTAAAGTAAAAGTAAAGTAAAAGTAAAGTAAAAGTAAAGTAAAAGTAAAGTAAAAGTAAAGTAAAAGTAAAGTAAAAGTAAAGTAAAAGTAAAGTAAAAGTAAAGTAAAAGTAAAGTAAAAGTAAAGTAAAAGTAAAGTAAAAGTAAAGTAAAAGTAAAGTAAAAGTAAAGTAAAAGTAAAGTAAAAGTAAAGTAAAAGTAAAGTAAAAGTAAAGTTAAAGTAAAGTTAAAGTAAAGTAAAAGTAAAGTAAAAGTAAAGTAAAAGTAAAGTAAAAGTAAAGTAAAAGTAAAGTAAAAGTAAAGTAAAAGTAAAGTAAAAGTAAAGTAAAAGTAAAGTAAAAGTAAAGTAAAAGTAAAGTTAAAGTAAAGTTAAAGTAAAGTAAAAGTAAAGTTAAAGTAAAGTTAAAGTAAAGTAAAAGTAAAGTAAAAGTAAAGTAAAAGTAAAGTAAAAGTAAAGTAAAAGTAAAGTAAAAGTAAAGTAAAAGTAAAGTAAAAGTAAAGTAAAAGTAAAGTAAAAGTAAAGTAAAAGTAAAGTAAAAGTAAAGTAAAAGTAAAGTAAAAGTAAAGTAAAAGTAAAGTAAAAGTAAAGTAAAAGTAAAGTAAAAGTAAAGTAAAAGTAAAGTAAAAGTAAAGTAAAAGTAAAGTAAAAGTAAAGTAAAAGTAAAGTAAAAGTAAAGTAAAAGTAAAGTAAAAGTATATTAAAAGTAAAGTAAAAGTAAAGTAAAAGTAAAGTAAAAGTAAAGTAAAAGTAAAGTAAAAGTAAAGTAAAAGTAAAGTAAAAATAAAGTAAAAGTAAAGTAAAAGTAAAGTAAAAGTAAAGTAAAAGTAAAGTAAAAGTAAAGTAAAAGTAAAGTAAAAGTAAAGTAAAAGTAAAGTAAAAGTAAAGTAAAAGTAAAGTAAAAGTAAAGTAAAAGTAAAGTAAAAGTAAAGTAAAAGTAAAGTAAAAGTAAAGTAAAAGTAAAGTAAAAGTAAAGTAAAAGTAAAGTAAAAGTAAAGTAAAAGTAAAGTAAAAGTAAAGTAAAAGTAAAGTAAAAGTAAAGTAAAAGTAAAGTAAAAGTAAAGTAAAAGTAAAGTAAAAGTAAAGTAAAAGTAAAGTAAAAGTAAAGTAAAAGTAAAGTAAAAGTAAAGTAAAAGTAAAGTAAAAGTAAAGTAAAAGTAAAGTAAAAGTAAAGTAAAAGTAAAGTAAAAGTAAAGTAAAAGTAAAGTAAAAGTAAAGTAAAAGTAAAGTAAAAGTAAAGTAAAAGTAAAGTAAAAGTAAAGTAAAAGTAAAGTAAAAGTAAAGTAAAAGTAAAGTAAAAGTAAAGTAAAAGTAAAGTAAAAGTAAAGTAAAAGTAAAGTAAAAGTAAAGTAAAAGTAAAGTAAAAGTAAAGTAAAAGTAAAGTAAAAGTAAAGTAAAAGTAAAGTAAAAGTAAAGTAAAAGTAAAGTAAAAGTAAAGTAAAAGTAAAGTAAAAGTAAAGTAAAAGTAAAGTAAAAGTAAAGTAAAAGTAAAGTAAAAGTAAAGTAAAAGTAAAGTAAAAGTAAAGTAAAAGTAAAGTAAAAGTAAAGTAAAAGTAAAGTAAAAGTAAAGTAAAAGTAAAGTAAAAGTAAAGTAAAAGTAAAGTAAAAGTAAAGTAAAAGTAAAGTAAAAGTAAAGTAAAAGTAAAGTAAAAGTAAAGTAAAAGTAAAGTAAAAGTAAAGTAAAAGTAAAGTAAAAGTAAAGTAAAAGTAAAGTAAAAGTAAAGTAAAAGTAAAGTAAAAGTAAAGTAAAAGTAAAGTAAAAGTAAAGTAAAAGTAAAGTAAAAGTAAAGTAAAAGTAAAGTAAAAGTAAAGTAAAAGTAAAGTAAAAGTAAAGTTAAAGTAAAGAAAAAGTAAAGTAAAAGTAAAGTAAAAGTAAAGTAAAAGTAAAGTAAAAGTAAAGTAAAAGTAAAGTAAAAGTAAAGTAAAAGTAAAGTAAAAGTAAAGTAAAAGTAAAGTAAAAGTAAAGTAAAAGTAAAGTAAAAGTAAAGTTAAAGTAAAGTAAAAGTAAAGTAAAAGTAAAGTAAAAGTAAAGAAAAAGTAAAGTAAAAGTAAAGTAAAAGTAAAGTAAAAGTAAAGTAAAAGTAAAGTAAAAGTAAAGTAAAAGTAAAGTAAAAGTAAAGTAAAAGTAAAGTAAAAGTAAAGTAAAAGTAAAGTAAAAGTAAAGTAAAAGTAAAGTAAAAGTAAAGTAAAAGTAAAGTAAAAGTAAAGTAAAAGTAAAGTAAAAGTAAATTAAAAGTAAAGTAAAAGTAAAGTAAAAGTAAAGTAAAAGTAAAGTAAAAGTAAAGTAAAAGTAAAGTAAAAGTAAAGTAAAAGTAAAGTAAAAGTAAAGTAAAAGTAAAGTAAAAGTAAAGTAAAAGTAAAGTAAAAGTAAAGTAAAAGTAAAGTCAAGGTAAAGACAAAGTAAAGTGAAAGTAAAGAAGAATTCAATGGAGGATTCAATGGAGACTTCAATGGAGATTTTTGGGAAAAAATCAGGAGCAATAAGCAAGCAATAAATCGTAGGGATTTATGACTTACATCCAAAGAATATTAAAAATATTTCCAAGGGAAGCTACATATAAAGGAATTCTACGGATAATTTATAATTCTAGGCAGCGATTACTATAGGAATGCGATTTGAATGGCAATATATTATTTAGGGAATGCTGAGGATAATTTCTGGATAATAGTTGCAGTAGTTTTGTGTTAAACACCAAAACGTGTCTGACTCAGAACTTCTGAAGCCACTGGCTGAAAGTCAAAAAAGAAAAACAAAACTTTTGATGAGAATTTCATGAGGACTGCAAGGTAAATTCCAGAAAAATTGTCATGAAAATTGAGAAAATTTCTTACGGAATTTTGAGGAAAATTTTAATGGAATTTTTCAAACGGTAAGGCAATTCTGAAAATAATACATTAATTCTGAGGATAATTCCAAAGAAATTCTGAAGGATGTTTCAAGGTCGTTCCAACACAAGCTCCTTGGAAATTCTGGCAAAAGCTCCAAAGGCTCTCTGACAAGAATTGGAAATGAATTCTGATCAGAAATCAAACGGAATCTGAGTCTGATGATAGTTCTATTGGAATTATAAAGAGAATTTTCTGGAAGCATTCTAATGCAATCTTGAGGAGAATGGCATGGATATTTCAGGAGACTGCAGAATATTAATTGATCGGTGGGAGAATTCCAACGACATTTTGTGGAGCATTTTATACGAGAAGAATTCCTATGGAATTCACAGGAGTATTGTAAGATTGGATGCCAAGGTAATTCCACTGAGAACTACATGGCTCTTCTGAAGGGTACACTGAGGCAATATTTAAGAACATTCCTAGAGAACATCAAAGAGATTCATAAAGAAAAAAACATGTGAGTTTTTGCGAGAATGATTATCAATTTGAAAAACCACGAATTATCTGAAGATAATTTCTTAAGCGATGTAGAGAAAATTTTAGGGAATACCACAGAAATTACTTAGATTATTGTTGGCGTCCCAAAAGAGGTGTCATTTTCATGATTTGTCAAGGCCGTAGCAAATCCTCACTACGGCGCTGGTAATAGCAATTAGGTTTGATATTATATGCGATTATATCGGATTTTGTTTGTACTACAGAGCCTTCCCGTATTTGGCATCTTATGATTTTTGTCTTCTTTGCTATTAAGAAAATTCATCAAACTCGTTATTCCGATTGCGATTTAACTAGATCCGTCTTTAGCGATTAGAGATTCTTAATATTTTATTTTAAATTGTACAGATATTACTATCAAAAATTTGAGGAGCTAAAAAGCTGATGAGGTAATGCTGTCAAAAACGGGATTTCACTGTATTGTACGATACCAAATAGACCAATCGTTTAAAAGTCAGGAATTTGCGTTGTAAGTGATTCAAACTAAACGTCATGCGACTTATATGCGATTCCAACTGAACCTGTTGTAATTTACGATTCTAGTTGTGTATTTGTATGCGAGTTTGGTGTTGTCTGTACTTAACTTTTCATTTGTCTATAAAGCATTTCTCAATTAATCTCATGACTTTCTTCTACACCGTACTCCTTAATCTCTGTGTCATTATTCAAACCATACCATCGTTTAGTTGTACTAATGTTATGTTTGTTGTTAACACTATTACAAACTCATAGTTCTAACCGTTCCGTACCTACCTAAGCGAAACAATAGTTGTCAATGTGTTACATCACGAGGTCTCTAACACATTACCGCATTCATGGTATCTGAAACATTTCAAACAAACCCCGCCCCCTCTCAGATCTATCCGCATCGACGATGTACAGCAGCAGATTCGGCTCGATCGACAAGCACTAAACCCACCCTTTTCCAATCATTTCAGTGAGGGTTACACCGATCACCCGGAGAAACGCCGGAAACGAGGTTCGCTCTTCTTTCGCAAAAAGAAGGACAAAGCCAAAACCAAGGGCCAGAATTCCACCTGCGATGGTTGGTTTCCCACTGAAGCTATTGCAAAATCATTATTTATTGAAAGTATCTTCATTTCAGCTTGTGGCGCGGTCATCAATCTGGCCACCTACAAAGAGCACGCCGTGGAATGTAAAGCTAAAATTGCAAAGGTAAGTTCGGTTTCAGCAGTTGCTTGCTCGTAACCCTATTTTCGTCCGGTTTTATTCACGTGATACAACATTGAAACATTTCAGAAATATTTCCAAGTGCAGCCCAAGTCCGGTTCCAACAAGAAGAACTCAACCAACAGGTAAATTTTGGATTTATTTGTTCGCCTTTTTTGTCCCGTTGACTGTTGTTGAAGCATTTTTGCATATTGATACTTCTTAAAACTAATATGAGAAATATTTTTTTGATCATGCGATTTTTTTACTGTACGTGCATCGAGTTAGTTTTGTATATTGATATTCTTAAAAAAAAGAAGGCGAACGGTGTTTTCTATTTCGCTTTTAAAGAATAGTTATCATTTCTTTTGTTTTGTGGAAGTTAAATTTCCGAATGAAACTAACCTCAAAGATAAACTAATGACGAAAATATTTGGCGACCTTGACTGCCGTTCGTCGCCAATTTTAAACCATCCTTGCCTAACTAGTGGAACATAAATTGCATCCATGCTGTGGTCGATGAATAACTTTTTCGTGCTTTTTTCATATCAATTATGTCTTAGTGAATGATGTGGGACTGAATGTGTTTAGTGGAATTTTCGTTTTTTTATAATTCTCAAACTAATTTGTATCGAGCGCAGAATGTTTTATCGCATACAGAATTTTGTGTTAAGGCTTGAACTAAGTTCCGATTCGCTTTTAAGCTTCACACGTTTCGTTTGCTTTTTATCGGTTTCAGTTCGTTCCATACCAAGAAAGATGTAAGAACATTTTAGGAATCATTACCATTTCAGTTTATCAAAACAAACGTGTGCAGTTTCGCTTGTCAAACATTGAAACATTTATTTTTTCGTTCAAACCAAATATCTTCAGTTTCTGATTTGATGAACATGTTTCTCACTTTGGTTGTGATTTTTTTTTTCTATTTTGAACACACTTCCGTTCTGTGAGACAACATTTATCCAATTGTCACGGTAATAATAATGCCACCAATGTCTCTGTTCTTGTTATTGTTAATGCCAACCCCAATCCGCAAAACAAAACCGACCCATTGTGCGCGAAATTTGATCAAACCATAAACAAAACAATCCGACACAAACAAAAATGTCACTCTTATCATCCAAATAACAAATAACAAAAAAAAAACGCGACCACGAAATTGACCAAACCAAAAAAAAAACCGAATCAGTGAAAAAAGCGGCAAGAAAATGACTGGATGCTACTCTCCGTGGAGATTGGTCGCTAACAAGTTAGGCGTGGTTTCAACTCACGCCAGGTAACGCTAGCCAAAATTGTCATTCTCACGTTTTTTCTTCTCTCGAAAAACTCTCTGTATCTCTCACTCATTCTCTCCCTCTCTCTCTCTCTCTGTCTCTCTCATTAACATTACGTCTTGTACTGTCTGCCTCTCCTCTTTCTCTCTGTCCATTTAATCACCAAAACGATTTTGATGCCACTTTTCAAATCGTTGATGTCCGTTTTTGTATACACTAAGCAAAGTATGTTATTGAACAAATGTTAACCTGTTTTTGATAGTTTTCCATATTTCGGTCAAGAAAAGTCTTTCTCGATTGACAATCTGCCGCTCTTCTCGATCATTTTCAAGACTGATATAAACATCTACTCTTCTATCACTTTGTAGTGTTCACGTTGCTGTAATTTTACGAGTAGTTAGCTACTAGTGTTTTCCATTCCAGCTTCCATTCTTTTGACCGAATCCTACGTTTTGAACCAGTTTTGAATTTTGTGTAAATTTTTGACCGATTTCAAGCACCTTTTCACACTGTAGTTGGGTGGTGGGACATTGTTTTTTTCCTGTAGAACAATTGGATTGGGAAGGTTTTTAGAGGAATATTAATCAATTTGCTTACCTCGCGAATGGATCAGTTAAAGTGCTTTTATAGTTTGAAATGGATGGCCAACGATGCTCGATACCAGTTAATCATTAAACACAATGCACACCTCTACGGAACATTCTCTAATTGAAGCTTTTTACTTGTAGGGTTATGGGATGTAATGTCAGCCTAACCCCTCACTTCGGCCTATCAAGCAAATAACTCATTCATTCAGCTATGAGGCCGGAATAAATCATAAGTTTCTCTTCTGTCACCGTATATTTCATGTAAATATTACTTCTTAGCCTTCGCTTTAGCTTTATACTTCTTTGAAGCGATGATGTTAGAAGCTAATGCATAGCAGGAGCCACACATGTTGACTTTATTACTCGGGTTATCAACAAGACATTTCGCGCAAAAGTTTTTTGTATCCTTTCAAGGAAGAACATTGGCTAAAATGTAGATCAATAGGATAAAAGCAAACTGATCTTTGGGTTTTGATAAACTCCGGTTAAGCGGAATACCACAAACGTAAAAGTTCTTAAAAAAAGTAAGAGGTTGTATCCAAGACACGACCGTAGATTTGACATAGAATTACGAAAGGTAGTTTTGATGTTACAGCAAAAGTATGGTAAATATTAAATTGATTGCTTAACGCGTTATCAGTGAAAAAGTTCGAAAGGTTGAAATCCGGAAGCAATTTTAGAGTTCTGTTTTTGAGGTGCTCTGTCGATGTCCTTTCTGTGATTCGTGTTGAGACTGGAGTTAGTTTTATACAAAGGTGAGCACATAAGGTGATAGTATTCACAAAGTGTGAAACACGTTAAATGTAAACTACTCACAAGTTACTACATTACATCTTTCTTTTTTTAGAACGTTAATAATAATCAAAATCTTTAAACCTCAATGGTTCAACAATACGGCCGCTGTGTGTTGTTCGCTGTTGCTTTCCAACCATTTGATCTCCACTCGGTTCTTCAGCTGGTTGGTTGACTTCTGAGTTGCTCTCTGAAGCAACATCCTTAATGGATGTGAACTGTTCTCCTGGTATGGGTCGTGGCTCCAACGCTTCTTGGCCTTCGTTTACTACTGCTTTAGCTGGCCGCAAGTGGTGGGTTTTCCTCCTGAGTACAGTTTCTCCGTCACTTACAGCATACGATCTTCTTACGTCGATACAATGCATCACTGTTGCTGGTCTCCATGTTTCGGTATTTTGATTCTGAAGCAATACTGGTTCTCCTGGCTGGCATTGGCTTAACTCCACAGCTCCTCTATCGGCGTACTGCTTCTGTAGCTTTCTTTCTTCCGACAATGTCTGTGGAACTCCAGTGATTAGCTTGGGCTGCAACTTCTCATCAGTGACCGGTAAATTTGTGCATAAAAGTCTTCCCATTAATCTTCACATGGAGCGGGCAATCCAGAAAACCTCGGCGTGTTCCTGGCGTGAAGTAATGCTAGTATATATCTGACTTATCTTCAGCACATTTCTTAAGAATCATTTTAGCCGTCTGCACGTAGCGTTCGGCTAATCCGTTGGCTCGTGGAAAGCTTGGGCTGGAAGTACTGTGATCAAAGCTCCACTCCCTTGCAAACACTTTGAACTTCTCTGACGAATACTGAGGTCCGTTATCCGATTCAAGTACAAGTGGGATACCATGCACTGCAAACCATTCCTTAAGTTTTGCGATTATGGCACGTGACGACAAATCCGATAGCTCCTTGAAATCGAAAAAAAACTCGAATAGCTATCCACAATGAGTATGTATTCTTTGCCTTTGAAGTGAAATAAGTCCGACGCTACTCTCTCAAATGGCAAACCAAGAATTTCTTTTGATACGATGGTTTGTTTGACGTTGTCTCGTTGATGCTTTTGGCAGACTCTGCAGGCATCGACTATTTCTTGGATGTCGGAAGTCATGGTTATCCAAAATAGGGACTGTTTCGCACGCTTCACACAGTGTGTAGACACCAGAATTTATGCAGGATAGGATTTACATCGTCTCGTTGATCTGGCCAACCAGTCATGATCACTTGTTTCAGTAGTTGCATTTCATGATCAATCGTGACGTGATCTCGAAGCTCGGTGGCTGCTCGCTTAGACATCTGTAGTACGATATGAACCTCGAGTTCTTCCTCAAACTCATCTTTATGTTGATTCAAGACGTCCCGACTCAGTATATCCGGGATTGGTATATCCTTGCCTCTTACGTGGACGACACGTGGATTATACTGCGCAACATCCAGCCTAATCCTCTTCAACCTTGGTGGTGCGCGGTCTAAAGGTTTCCGAAAAATTGACTCCAGTGGTTTATGGTCACTCTCGATGATCAATTCTTTGCCGTATATGTACTGGTGAAATTTTTGACATGCAAAACGAATTGCTGCAGCCTCTTTCTCTATTTGCGGATAATTGAGTTCTGCTGGATTTAACGACTTCGAAGCGTAGGTGACTGGCTGACCACCTTGCAATAGCACTGCCCCCATCGCTTTGGAACTGGCACCCACCGACAACGTAACAGGTGCATTGACGTCGTAGAAGGCTAGTATGGACGGAGAAATCGTCATGTTTTTTTTTTATTTTCAGAAAGGCATCTTGTTGTTCTACGTTCCAATCCCATACAACGTTCTTTGCTAAGAGCGTTCGAAGTGGACTTGTAATTTCTGACAGGTTTTTAATGAACTTACCGAGGTACGTAATCATACCTAGAGCTCTCTGCAGCTGCTGCCTATTAGTAGGTACTTGGAGATTCCGTATTGCATCAAGTTTATCAGCATCTGCTTTTAATCCGTCGGCCGACAGGAGGTGTCCCAGGAACTTTACTGATGGCTGGTCAAACAAGCACTTCTCACGGTTCAACTTTAGCCCTGCAGTCTGGATTTGTTTCAATACGATGTTTGAAATTTCCTGCAACTCCCTTGAGCTCCTGGCGTGAATCAATATATCATCCATAGAGCATTCAACGCCATCGATACCTAACATTACCTCTAGCATAATGCTTTGGAATACCTCAGAGCCGATGCCAGGCCAAATGGTAGTCGCTTACAACAATAACGGCTCCACGGCGTTCCAAACGTGAGGTATTTTGATGTGCGGTCAGTCACTTTTATCTGCCAGAAACCTTTTTTACAATCCAAGATTGTGAACCGACTAGAATTCTTAAGGCGTGCAGCGATTTCCTCAATCGTTGTAAGTGGGTGATGTCTTCTTAAGAGATTCTGATTAACCTGCGATGGATCTATGCAGATCCTCAATTTTCCTTTCTTTCGAACAATAACCATGGCATTAACAACGGGGGTTGGTTTACGTATCT